AGCTTTACAACGTCGGTGGGGGAGGGGGAAGGGGGAAGGAGAAAGATTGGGATTGTGGGGGAGGGGGGAGGCTGGGAAGGGATGTGAAGGGTAAACCAAAGGAGGAGGCTGCAATGCTTGGTAAGAAATGTATGCATTATCCTGCCCATGTAATTGTAACCCCTCCGTACAGTATGTTCACAAATAAAAAATAAAAAAGAATTACCCAATCAGATAGATTGAGTCTATCATTATTTAAGCTTCTCTTTTGTAAGAAATGAGATTTCTTTCAATATAGGTATCATACTATCATAATATCTGTAATTTAAATAGGATTATAATTTTGACCTATTTGCTTCAAGAAAATATACAATAGTCTTTTAGGCTTTATTTTATTTTTAACTAGAGAAATGGGAAAGAAGAGGGAATTTCCAAGTAAGGATCAGACTTTAACAAAATAAACTCAATCTATTTATTCATTGCAGCAAACAGAGATAGAAATTTAAATATTAGCATTAGAGTGTAATAATATTAAGTAAGACTATCCAGTAAAAAATCACAGACTTTTTCTAAATTAAGCTTAATTTCACTGGACATAGAATCAATATTAAGTGGTCATCAAATAGGACTCATTCTCATAGGGACACAGGGAGAATCAGAAGATGGGGAAGTGGCTACAAGATCAATATGAAAACAGGCAGAAGAGAAAGGTCACCAAATAAATCATGAGCTGATAATGTCTTTTCTACCATGCTAAATCTCAACACTTTCTACAAAACGAGACATGATTTCTAATCGGCTATGACAACATTTTAGAGAATGGTCTGTTTCTACATTGGCAACCAAAGTAGAAGCAGATTATTTGAGAAAATTTTGACTTTAAAAATGAATTACTTTATTAATTTGAAAAAAATCTCCCTAAGTGATTTCACATACTTAGTTCCACAAAAAAGTTAGTATATCACTGACTAATGGTTTTTCATAGAAATAATATACCACTAACCTCTATAAGAATGCTGAATACTGATCAATAACAGTTCAACCATTCTTTGAGTGTTTGAGATTATTCTCCTCATTCCTCAAGGTCCAATACTTTCTCTACCAATCTTTTATTTCCTGAGAAAAAAGAAACCATGTGAATAAAATTTCCCTAACTGCCCTCCTCTGCCTAAACTTGCTTTCTTTCTAAGGATGAGCAATCACATCTCTATGGAAAGCTAACCTCTCCATCTGTCTCCCCCATCCCGTCCCTTTCCTCCAAGGACTTGGCTCTTGAAATGATGTCCTTATTCTGAAATTGTTTCACTCATTTTTTTTCTTTTTCTTTTTTTAGGAAATCATTCCAAAGAGCTTCCAACCATGTTTTAAAAGCTTTTTATCCATACACAACAAAAGGGTTTTCTCCTTCCTGTTCTTTTATTTTTCTCTTTAAATTACAGCATATCTCCTGAAAAATACAGCCAAATCTTGCTCTCTCTGCCACTTACACACACACACACACACACACACACACACACACACACACACACAGGGCTTAAGAAACCAAAGGATGGGGCTGGGAAGTTGGCTCAGTGGTAGAGCGCTTGCCTTGCATGCATGAGGCCCTGGGTTCAATTCCTCAGCACCACATAAGCAGAAAAAAAAAGCTGGAAGTGGCGCTGTGGCTCAAGTGGTAGAGTGCTAGCCTTGAGCTGAAGAGCTGAGGGACAGGCCCAGGCCCAGAGAGTTCAGGCCCACGACTGGACCTCCCCCCCCCACACACAAAAAAAAACAAAAAACAAAGGATGATAGGAATTTATTCAAGGAAAGGAAGCAAGCTTCTGGCATATAAAGTAAGTATGTGGGGTTCGAAGAGAGATCACTGGATGTCTGTGTAGGGGGTGTTAATGAGTCTCAGAAACTCTCATCTCGCTGAGAGATAGGGTTGAAAGATTTGTTAACTAGGTTCGGGGAGAAAGAAGGATTATTTTATATGACACAAACGATTGCACAATTTATTATACATTTCACATATGTGAGTAAAATATATAATACTGTTGAGAATGTATTATTATTGGTAAACATACCCACAGTTCAATTTGTATTGCAGAATCTGGCATATGTCATGAGAAGAGAAACAGATGTGTCTGAGCCTCTGCTGGCATTTCTTTGAGTCCTGGGAGGTGGCATTGCGCAGTAATCTTACTCAACCAATAATTTTACAAGAGCAGATGTAAGTAAGTGTGAAATCTTCAAAGCACTTGAAAATCAATTGATTTTCTTAATAATGATACAATTACAAGGATATACATATCTATAAAGAGGCTGGGAGGAGCTTTTAGAGAGAGAGAAGATAGGAGAGAAGAGAGAAGCAAAGGAAAAGTAGTTTTGTTGCATATTACAAAATGAAAAAATTCTGACACTAATACTTATTAAATACTTCGCCATACATCAGATTCTGATCCAGCTCCAATTACAAAATCTACAACAAAAATCTAAAATTATAAGAGATAGGCCTTAATTTTTCAATCAGAAAGTATTTTATTGCCAGGCCCATGCCTGTAATCCTAGCTACTCAGGAGGCTGAGATATGAGGATCACAGTTCAAAGCCAGCCAGGGCAGAAAAATTTGTGAGACACTTATCTCCAATTAACCACCAGAAAACCAGAAGAAGCACTGTGGCTCAAAGTGGTAGAGCTCTATCCTTGAGCAAAAGAGCTCAGGGATAATTCCCCATTCCTGAATTCAAGCCCCACAACCGACAAAAGATGTACAAGACACTATATTGAAAAACGAACTTTACAATTTAGGCAGGAGGCAGAGAGGGAGGGGGGGTAGTTGTAAGGGAAGGGATGGTGGGATGGAAGAGGAAAAACAAAGGAGGAGACAACAATGCTTGATAAGAAATGTACTCATTACCTTGCTCATGTAGCTGTAACCTCTCCTCTATACAGTATTTTCACAATAAAAAACATTAAAAAAAAACCCTAAGATAACACAGATATGTGAAGCACAAGTACCAAAAGCTCTGAAGCAGGCTTCCCCTGAGGGTAGATGAAACACAGCTCTCAAAATCATCATGTATGATATATTAATGACCATTAGATCAAAGCCACTTTGAGAGAAAGCCACAAAGAGCCCATATCCACAGTTGACTGTGGTGTCAGCACACAGCAACTTGAGCACAGCCCTGTGCTCACAGTAGGACTGGGGAATGGCCCTGTTGGGGCAGAAGGGCATCCTGGAGATCATGAAGCAGAAATGGCTCACCCACAGCAGTCCTCTCATCATCACCGCCACCCCCAGCTTCATCACTGCAGAGGTGGGCAGGATGCTTGAGTGCCGGAGTGGGAAGCAGATGGCCACATAGCGGTCCAAGGCCATAGACATGAGTACCCCAGACTCCACAGAAGAAAAGGCATGGATGAAGAACACCTGGATGAGGCAGGCATGATATTCAATCTCACGAGCATGAAACCAGAGTATAGCCAACAGTTTTGGCTGTGTGGCAGAGGACAGGACCAGGTCGGTGACAGCCAGCATGGCCAGAAAGAGGTACATGGGCTCGTGCAGGGTGCGGTCGATTCGGATGATATGCAAGATGATGATGTTTCCCATTACAGCCACAATATACATGACATAGAATGGAAAGGCAATCCAAACTTGGGAATTCTCCAGTCCTGGGATTCCAAGCAAGATGAAGAACTCGGGATGTGCAAAGATGTTCCTTGAAGTGAACATCAGGGATGGGGTCTATTCCAAAGTTACTTACTGTCTGCAGATGGTAATCAAATCAGCCACTGTTAGTTTTTGGATTGTCTTGTTGCATAATGGGACTATTGGATTTAAAGCTATACTGTAACAATTCAACTGATAATCAGATATTAATGTTTTATAATGTTAAATGATGATTTTTTACATGTTTAGGATAGTAAAATCAGGTGGGAACACACTAGCTGCAAGTATAATTGCTTTTTAAGTAATGGGTTAGGAACTTTTTTCCTTTGGCAGTTTCAGCAAGGATTTCTTGTTGTATGACAGGATAAGATAGGGAGAAATGTGACAAATAGATGAGCTTCTTCCTTTGAGCCTTAATGAATATACTTGCCTGTTCTTTCACACTTTTTGTGGGTGGTGACTTCCTTCCCAGCTACTGACGTCCTGCAGTCCCTTCCAAAACCCATGTCCCCTCTTTTTCATGGTATATGTTCTTCTGGTTAGTTTTCAAGGACTCCTGGTGGGAAACTGCTCTACCATCTTCAGTCATTTTACTGGTTGTCCTCTCCGATTTTTTCTTTAGTAGCCAGTGAAGGAGCGTAGGGAGCTTGAGATCTCAGTCTGCAGCAGGAGTTAGATTGGTGTCATGATCAGATCCTTGGCTTTCCTTTCCGAACATTTCCCTGACCATCCTGGAAATCCACTCCCTTCATGGTCTTTTCATTCAGTAACTTTTGAACTTAAACAGATTTTGAGCTTCATGTCATGTGTCATATGTAGGGATTTGACCATTCCTTGGTAGTTTTTGTCAAGTGTGGGGCCTTTTCAATTTGGAAACATTGTTTGTAAGGTTCCCATTGACTTTTAAGGATAAATAGGAATGAGAAAAAGAAAAACCTCATTTTCCTTTTTGCCTAACATACTTTCTGCTCTAACTTATTAAACATACATTGTCTCTTTTTTCAAAGGCTAGAACGCATAAGGGCATTGTGCAGCTTCTAAGCTATAAATGCAGTTATATACATGTCAAATATTGGAACTAGAGTGATTCAATGTTGTACCCCTGCCTAAACTTCTTTCTGATTTGAGGCTTGAACTTAATGTCTCATAGCCACACTCAGCTTGCTCTTCTGTAGCCAGTGCTCTACTCCTTGAGCCACACCTTTACCTTAGCTTTGGATATGGTGTCTCAAGGACTTTTCTGTCCAGGATGGCTGCAAATCAACAAGCCTCTAAACTCAGCCTCTTGATTGGCCAGCTAGAATTATAGATGTGAGCCAGCAGCACCTGGGTTTGACTAAAGTTTTGTGTTTCTCAAAGTAAAACCTAACTCATACAGGCACTATTCCACATTCGCTTCAGGAACTAGAGAAATACCCAGATTTCTTCTGTAAAAGTTGTTAAAGTGCAGTCATGGCATTCCTGGTTGGGCCAAAAATCTTTCACTCTGTGCAGCTTGTGAAAATAATTGTTAATCAGTCCACTGTGTTGCTGAAGGCATTCAAGTGATTGTAGGTTAAAATAAAACTGAGATCTTGTTAAATAGTATACTATTAGAAATTTAGAATGCATATTTTTCTGGGTTATCTAAAACTAAAATGTAGAGAAGTTGGAGTTTAAGTGCCATCTCCTTCATGGAAATTTTGTATATAAAGAAAGACTGCCTACCTTGGCAGCTCTCTACGGAGGACACAGTGGGAAACAGATGGTTTGTCTTCTTTGGAAGATTGTAGTTCAATGGTGATGGACGTTTGGACCTGGAGCTCCCAGAGTTAGGCCTTTTGGTGTGGAGCATCTTCTTGCTTCTTGGAGATTCCGTGAGTCCCACTGCTCTATGGGAAAGATAGAGATGCCTGAGACATGAGGGGTCATTCACCTTGGAATTGTATTTTTTACTGACCAAGATGAGCATGATCATAAGCAGTTCAAGGTCAGCCTTCAGCAAAAGGCTCAGATCAGGGCCTATTTAAAGGACTGAGTTTACATCGTCCATTCCCAATGCATTAGCTTTCTCCACTCGACAATTCCCATTGTCCAACATACATGGGGTTCCTCTGAGAGTAGGTACAGAAACAACATATTAACCCCTAACTTGCTTCTGTGCTAATATATATGTAAATGTGAAATCATAAGATATGAATGTATGTGTTCTTTTTAGATTAAAAGTATAAGATTTTAGACACACTTACACCCTTTGCGAGACTATATATAATAGAAGGCATATTTGTGCAATCTGAAAGTGGATAATTATTTTGTGCATGTAAATATATGTATTTAGGGAAACTATCAGTATATGGATTTATAAGAAACTTGATTGATGTGCAAGTATTTATATAAACTAACGTTTATATGGAAGAATAAATGATCATTTTTGGTATGCTGAATGATATTCAAAACATTTTGGAAAAAATTAAAAAGTACTCCATAACTCATTATTTTATTAAAAAGTATTTTAAAACTCAATAACAAAAAAGTCAATACACCAAAATATCTACTAGCATAAAGTAGAAAACATCCAATGGAGAGGATGTGGAAAAATGGGAACTTATGTGTGCTGTCAGTGGAATTGGAAAGTGAAGCAGCCTCTACATAAAAATGGCAGTTCTGCAAAAAATTAATGAAATTATTATATGACAACATCATATCTGTGTGTATACTCAAATGAAGTGAAACAAAATCTTGAAGCAATAGTTGCATACCCTTTTCATTGCAGTGTTACTCACAATATCCACAATGTGGATATATATGTGTGAATCAATTGTATTCATAATTGATTAAATGCCAACTCTTCCCTACAACTAAAGAGAATCAAAATAATAGATAATAATTAAAAATATCACACAGACAATGGAGTAGTAGCCTTAAAAATAAGAGAATGCTGTTACACATTACAAAATGATTTAGCTTGAGGAGATTATGCTAACTGTAATTTTCAATGAGTCAAACACTGTATGATTTACACTTATATGAGCTATCTAAACTAATCAAGTTAAACTGAAACCATTTTGTACAGTTACTTAAAAATAATAAGAAGAAAAAACTTACAGAAACAAAGTAGAATGGTACTTGCCACAGACTAGGAAAAAAAGGGAGAAATTGAGTTTCTGTTAATAATGTAATATAAATAATAAAGTAATAAAAATAATAATGTGCATGTAATCAACAACATTGTACTGTACACATCAAATTTAAGTGAGAAAATTTGTGCTATGTAGGTTTCATCATCATGAAAAGAGGTATCTTTAAATAGAACTGAAATTAAAGCATTTGATCCAGCCCAGATCCCCCATTTTATATTTGAAGAAGTGAGATTCAAAGAGGAAAGTCACTAGGCTACAGATAAAATTAGAGGAAGAATTCTAATCTTAGAGTGCTCTGTCTAGTGCATTCTGGTACAATAGCAAGTCTAAGTTAAATCAATTGGCCTTAAAGAGAAGGGAGCTCTGACTCACCTGGGAAAAATTCTTTATCTTCTTCTCATTAGCTTTGAAGATAGGTATTACTTAGTTAATCCAATTTTCCAACAGAATTAAATTTAACAACAGTGACTTTGGAGTGATGCATCATCTGCCCACAACTTCCTCTATTTCTGCCTTTCCTGAAATGCACAGGTGAGCCATGTTGTATCCTTGGTCTAAGCTAGTGCTCTTTCCAAACACATGTTGCTTCAAGGTCAATAGCAAGGTACACTTGAGACCCACATATTCATAAATAGATCATTATTTTCTTTCATAATTTTACAAAGAAAATTCTATGTAATACCTTAATACAGACTTAAGTACTAGAAATATACACATTTATTACATTTTTAGTTTTGGATTGGAAAGGTCTTTAATTTTCCTACTACAGATACAGAAAGACAAAGCAATGGCCTGGAAATGGATTCCTGGGCACAATAGCTCATTTACCTTTAGGTTCTAGGGACCTGATGATGAATATGACTTCCTTATAAAATAAGACCTGGACATCCCATTCATCCCTACTGTACTGATTATTGTTCTGTAACATAGAGTAGATTACTTCATATCTCTGGCTTTCATCTTCCTAGAAAACCACAGTAATAACTTCCTATATAGTTACTGGATGAAGTAAATGAGATAAAATGTGTGGCGTTGACTTCTAAGTCATTTCGCTGTAAAGCAAGCCACTAAACTTAAAAATTAATCCCTCAAAAAGGAAATTATTGAGCCAGTCACATGAACAGCTACAACTTAGTATGTCCACAGATTCCAAAGTCTGTGGATTTTCAAGCCATTTATATCAAACAACATCGCACTGGCATATAACCTTTGCAATTCTCCTGTACTTTTCAATGATCTCCTCACTACTTTTCATGTCAAATAAAATGCCTTCACATCATTTCTTTTGTGCAGAAACAGGAAAGCACACCGCACAGAGCAAATTCAAGTTCTGCTCTTTAGAACTCTCCAATTATTCCCTCCCCCCATTTTTTAATTTAAAGATTGATTGAATCTACAGATCTAGAACCCCATGATACAGTACAATGTTTGCACAAATACATAGCCCATAATATTTCTCAGGTCATGTCTGGGAGACTATGGGTGTGGTGTCTAATTGGTAACGTATTACTGACACCAGGATGTTTGCAATCATGATCATGTCTCCTTGACTTCCCACATTGATAATTTATACAAAACGTGTGTTCGATTAAGTTGTCTGCTCTGCCATCATAATTAATCCTTTATGAAATACACAGAAAGATGCCATAATATTTTCCTACAGCCCACAGTTCACAATTAGTACTTTATATGTGACTCATAGGAAATTTTGTTGGAAACTTATCCATAGCACTGGTCTCAAGCCAGTTTTACTCCTCTGCCAATAATATCAGATGCTCTGCATCTTTCTTTTGGGCTTTAAAAAATTTATCAGATACAACGTAAATTTGTACTTAATCTTACAAGAAGATATCTAACCTGTCTTCAGGGCTGGAAAACAAAAGGTCCTTATATAATCACAGTAATTGTTTTGTGTTATCTCTATTTACTTCAGTACCTCTGTCT